CTGCGCCGGCGGGCGCGGCAAAGCCCCAACCCGCAGCAGGGCCCCGCTGCGGCCGTGGGTGAGCCCTGCTTGGCACCTCGCGCCCCCTGGCACCACAGTCCCCATCTCCTGCGGGTGGCAGCCCCAGGGACAGCCCCGGATGATCTCCAGGCCCAGTGGGGACGGAGACCCGGCTGTGGTGCGGGTGATAATTCCTTGGCTTAGCGGTTGCCAGCCAGTGCCCCCGGGGGGGCCGTTTGCTGGGGCGGAGCAGCGCCGGATGCGCCCGGCAGGGCTCGTCGCAAGTGTCTGACAACAGCTGGATCCCTGGCCAGGCCCGGCACCCACCCCAGGGGGAGTTTTGCCACCTACAAGCTGAGCCAGGAGTTCCTGATGTGGCCTGTGGGCTCAGCCAGGACACTGGGACCCAGGCAAACCAATGCAAAGTGCCTGGGCTCGGACACACCCCTGCAGTGACACCCCTAGAATACATCGCTCACCGTCACCTGGTGTGACCCGGTGGGAAATGAATGATCATTAACCAGCAGCTTCATGGAGCGGCGTGGGGGAGCATCGTTATGTTACCAAGGGGAAACTGAGGCACAGAGTGGGGCTGGGACCTCTGGGTCCGTTCATCTATTGCCCCGTGGGTGCACCCACGGCACGTAACGCAGTGTGGCAGGGCGGGGTGGATTAAGCACCCCCAGCCCGGAGAGATGGCACAAAGCATCCGTGCTGCTAAAAATAGCCCCCCAGCAGAGTGGCAGGGCGGGTGTGTGACCAGATGCAGCCTAAGCAGGGCTCAAGGGACGGGCTTAGCTGGGATCGGGGAGGCGGGAGGGGCTGCCTGGATGCTGCCCCCCTTACCAAGGTTCATAAAGCAGCAACATCTTGTGCCCGGGGCAGGAGCCTGTGAGCCAGGGCTCCTGGTTCTGTCATGCCCTCGGGAAGGTTCCGTGCCTCAGTTTCCCCCCGCCTTGCTGAGAGGCTGTGAGCCTTCAGGCATGAGTGCCAATAAGGCCCTGGGATGAACGGCTGAGCAGGCCTCTCGCTGGCTGCCACTGCCCGCCCCTGGGCCCAG